TCCTCCCCCTCCTCTGGCTCGTCATACAGCCCCGGCGCCGTGGGCGGCGCCACCACTTCTCTCTTGGGGTTGAGGTTGAAGAAGGACGGCCACAGGTCCCCCCAGTGCGCCTGCTTGGCCATGCGGTACGCCGCACCGCCCATCCACTTGGTCGCGTCGGACCGCGACACCACATGACGCTCAAGCCGCCCCTGGAGCAGGCCCAGGCCGCCGCCACCGCTGCTGCTGCTGTTGCTGTTGCTGTCGCTGCTGCTGCTGCTGGTGGTGGTGGTGGTGGTGGTGCTGCTGCTGGTGGTGGTGTCTGCGGGGGCGCAGAGATCCAGTATGACGTGGCCGCTGCGCTTGCGGGGCGGGCGGATGATCCTGGGAGAAAGGAGGGGGCAGGGTGGCGTGGGTCAGGGGTGGGCGGATGAATGGGCCGCAGTCAGGGTGCACACAAGGTTGCTGCAGGGCAGCGTGGCAGCAATTGCGGTAGGGGCCAACGTTGGGACTCCCTTCGAAGTGTACCTGCACCCTCTCATGTACAGCGCCCTCGCCCGCGCCTCCCACAGCTACCTTGACCAGCCGTAGCTGGACGCCGCCGCCAGCCCATAGCTCTCAGGGTCCGCCACAGACCAGTCTACACCGCCAACACCACCTGCGCCATAGGCCCCGCCACCGCCACCGTCCTCCCGCCGCTCCCCAGCACCGCTGCCATCACCCCTCGAGCCGCCGTTGCCCAAAGGGTGCTCCTCGGCCGCCTGCGCCAGCGCCGCGGCCGCCACTGCGCCGCCGAGCCGCTCCGCCAGCTGGCGCAGAGCCAGGCGCCGCTCCTCCGCCGGCGACAGGCTGGGGTGGCGGCCCTCGTCCACAAAGACACCTCCGCCGCCGCCGCTGGTTGCCCTGCTGGCCTCAGGCGTTGCGCTCAAGGGGCCCTCAGAGCCGCGCTGCTGCGGCGGGCCAGCGACCGCCTCGCCCTCCGCGTCACTCCCCTCCTGCTCTTCCTCCATCAGCCCCACTGCAGCCACGTGCCCCAGAGCAGCGCTGCCGGCTGGGACGCCCTGAGCCCAGTCAATGCCTGAGGTGACAGGTGAGCGGACAAGGCGGCGATGCGGTTGGGGCCAGCTGGTCAAGAGCCTGTGGCCAGCGCAGTGGGAGCAGCCCCGCAACACGCTGTCGCAAGCGTGCTGCCTGCGCACTCATCCTGCCTACCGCAACCACGTCGCGGCCGCGGGGTTGCACGGACCGCGCCCATGGCCCAAGGCCATCAGGGCCACCAGGGTCTTCGTCACGATACCCCCCCCCTTGAGACAGCTCCACTGCGCCTCCCCACCCCCCCTTCAGCCCATCCGCTCACCCCGCTCCTCCAGCGCCACCAGCCGCCCCACCAGGCCGGAGCCAAACGGCCCCAGCCGCGCGTTGACGCGCTCCAGGCGCGCCAGGCCGTCCTCATCCAGCGACCCTGCAGCCGCGAGGCTGCTGATCCCACTACCGCTGACATCTGCCCCGCCCTCCCCCAGGGCACCAGCCAGCGCCACCAGCTGATCCAGGGACAGGCCGGGCTCGTCGCCAGCCCCCTCGAAGTCGTCCTCGCCGCCGTCCATGCCATACAGCCCCGGCGCCAGCATGTCACCCTGGTCTTGCTCGCCGCCCAGGGCGGCGGCCCCCAGCGCCGCACCTGCCGGCGTGGCCGCGCCCGTCAAGCCCCGATCGGCCTCAGCAGCTTCAGCGCTGCCATCGCCGCTGACGGCGGAGAAGTCGACTGCAAACATGCTGCCCAGACGCGGCGCCCCAGTCCCTGCAGCGCCCCCCGCTAACTCTGAGCTGGCAATCACCTGCAACTCCTGCGACCCCTGCTGCTGCTGCTGCTGCTGCTGCTGCTGCTGCTGCTGCTGCTGCTGCTGCTGCTGCTGCTGCTGCTGCCCCTCCGCGAGGGCCCGCCATGCCGCGCGCCTGTTGAGCAGCACCTGCCGCTGCACTGCCACCTCAGGCAGCACCGCAGCCGGCCGGGAGGACGACGCCTCCACAGCGCCGGCGCCCGCCCCGGCACCGACGCCCCCCAGCCGTAGTGCGGCTGCGGCGACGCCGCTGCCCTCCTCCTCCTCCCCGGGCTGCGGCTCCAGGCTGCGGCGGTCCTCCAACTCAAATGTGCGCGTAATCTCAACACTCGGTACACCCTGAGGGCGCGCGCCGCGACTGCCAGCCAGCCGGAGAGCGGCGGAGGGCGGCATGGAGGGAAGGAGTGTGCAACGTTGAGTACAGCACGGGCCCTGACACATCTGCTGCGCCCGATTAAATTGCGGCCTGCATCTGCCGGAGGGCTACGCTTGATGGAGGCTGCAGCCTCAGAACCACCTGACACCACACCTGCGCGCCTTGCCTGCTCCCTGCCCGACCCCCTGCCCCCCCGTACTGAGCGCACTCACCGTATGACAACGTATGAGAAGCGTTCGTCCTGGTGGTCGCGGGAGCTGGTGCGCTGCCCCGGCCGCGCCTTGACACCCTGGGGGTGCGGTGGGGGGGTGAATGG